CCATTTGTCCCGAATATGGTTGTGCTTGCGACAATAATTACATGTGGAGCTAGTGGTTTGAGATGAACTAAACAAGTGTTGAGTATTTTTAAGGACCAAGGCTGATGATTCGACCGAAGTGGAAGTGCCGAACATGACAAGCCTCCGACTCTCTTCACGTCGAAACTCTGTGAATGCAGTGCGAGTTGAAGGAAGTGGATCACGACCAAGGATACAACCCCAGATTTTATCTTGGTCTTTGTTAAGTCCTGCAAGTAACTGAAACATGCTATCTTTCTCTAGAATCTTCTGAAAGAGAGAAACGTCCGGTGGAGATTTCCACATGTAATCATAGGAGAGATCACATTTCATCCATAAAACCACCAAATCATTATAGTACCGGGTCACTATCCACGGTCCCTGTTTTACCTTGCGAATTTTCTTAGATACCTCATAAAGTTGGTTGGAGTTCCTTACATCTGAGTTGATATGCCGAACTGTAGTCCAAAGGGCACTTGCAAAAGGAAGAAGTATATATGAACTGTCAATCATTGTCTCTATGGAGTTAATCAGCCACGACATGATCATGAAATTCTTCACTTCCCACGTTTCATATGTTGGGTCAGTTTTAGGAGGTTTACGAATTATTTCCGTGAGATAGCTGAATTTCCCACGTCCCTTGACGAACAAAGACATGGCTTGAGACCATTAGAGATAATTTTATCAGTTCAATTTATGGGTGGCGATTAGGAAGTTCAATAGGTTTTCCGGTCCTCCGTTCTGCTGAGTGATTGAGATCGACACAATATGGAGAAGGCTCGGTGGTGGAAGAGTCCGCCTTGATTCCAACAGAGCCAAATGTGATGTTGGGTTGTTGAGGCATTGGAAGATCTTGGAGGTTGGACAGAAGAAAACCCGACGGCTGGACATGTCTCTAAAAGCATCAATTTGGAAGGACATACCAACGGGAGAAAAATTAGGGTGGCTTAAAGGTTCTTCGATGGTTGGAAACACCCGCTAGCTAGCCCAGCGATACTCTGCAGAGACCGGCGGCTGGAGGCCTGTGGCGACAGAGGACGACATTGCTTGTAAAGGGGTTGGCGACAGAGTCTGGTGTTGAGTCTAGCGACAGAAAGAAAAAAAAGGGAGCGCCTAAGTTGGTCGGCAATAGAAGCCCTAAAAGGAAGGACCTACAGGTGACCGACGGTTAGGGTGGAGGATCTAGGGTTAGAACCATGGCTCAGATACCATGTTAGATTTTGAGAATAGAACTTACTATATAAATACATATTACAAAGACCCAAATAAAAGGAAAGATAAATTATGACCGACGGTTAGGGTGGAGGATCTAGGGTTAGAATCATGGCTCAGATGCCATGTTAGATTTTGAGAATAGAACTTACTGTATAAATACATAGTACAAAGACCCAAATAAAAGGAAAGATAAATTCAAAAATAGACTAATCAAGAAATGCATAAATATGAAGACGAAACATAAAGGAAGCAAATAAAAGCTAATAATATCTGCAGAAGTAATTACCTATTAATTAGGCTTATAATTCTAATATGTTGTAATCCTCTACTGGTAATATGTCTATTCCACTATATTACTGTATGTTAATCTACTCGTTTTTCTAGTCAACGTTTTGATGTCCTAGATTATAAATAATGTTTACTTATTAAATGATCAGTTTAGATGTAATTAAGGGTTGGAAAGTTAACACATCATCATACATCAAATCAAATTTCAGAGAAGTCTAGTGAAATTCTTATGAGAAAATATAGTTCATTACACGTCCAAAACACGAGTTTGAAATCACTCGGTTACCACACATGGTTGAAGAAAACCATGGAAAATTTATTGAATCATAAAATCAAATGCACACAAGTGAAGAACACCCAAACTAGAGTTGCATCTCTTTGAATTACACAACAATCTTTCTCTTACGCTGAATGCTCTCCTTGGTTTTATCTCCCACGCACAAGCAACACAGAGTCCCATTAATCTCACTACTGAAGTATAGTACAAACTCTCTCACACTCCCGAAGCAAAAGACATGATAAAATATGAAAGTTAATTGATGGAGTTCTACTTGATATTTTCCCTTGTGTGGTGCTCTCCTTTTTCTCCTCTTGATGTCGTTATCTGTTATATACTTCTCTTCATGTTCTATCGTCTATATAACGTCTTTACCTTTGGTTTAAGCCACCGAACCTGAAATGATGCCAATGAAATGCCACGAACTGTGATCCCACGTACCCGGGCGCCTGAACACAGGGCTTGGGAATTAGGTTTGGGAGCCTGTGTGCTTGACAGTGGCACCCACTTTCCATTTTCTTTATTTTTTGGCAAATTTTGGGCTTGTTCAAGCGTTGGAGTGCCATGCTTGGGTGCCTGGGCCCCAATACAAAACTTGGCATTCATTTTTGCTCCATATTGTCTTCTTACCTGTACACTGCATATACCACCATAAATGCCATGGAGGAACATCAAAATTATATAAATAGAAGTAAAAATAACTTGGTACAAACATTCGATACTCATCACGCATCAATTTTAAATTTCACTTATTGCATTTTCTAGGAGCTTGTGCAAATTACTGTCATTTTTTTCAATGAGAAATCCACAACTGCTATGAAGATGGCTATGCCTGAACATACAGCATTGTATGCGATCATAAATTTAAATTGTCTCCTGTCATCCACAAATACCTTTTGGAACTTTGAACGCGAGGGTGGGATTATACTTTAAATTGCGATGTGAAATTCATTGGTTTGAATCACATCAATAGTCATTGTAAAAGGATTGCTGTGGCTGTATGTGCTATTATTTCCTTGGACTTATAGAATTGGCAGGGGCCATATGCATATGTTAAGGCTTTTATTTAAATTTTAAAAACATCAGTCTTGAAGATTGCTTTTCAACTGAAGCTCTGATCCAAAGCATTCTTGATGCCCAAGTAGATGTTGAGAAAAAAATCATTATGCCAAATGTATGCATTGAGTTTATGGTGAGCTTGAATTACCTTAAGCTATTTAAGCTTGCCGAACATTAACATTCCTTTAGAAAAGCTAGGCTAAGTTGAGCTTGATTGATCTTGGACATAAGTTATGATTTGCTTGATTATCTTATGGACATCGCTCTCTCTTCACATCTCCCTCTCCCATTATTTAAAGGGTAATTAAATTAATGAATGTTAATTGATTAACTAGCTAATATATAGTGAATCATCAATCAGTGAATTGGTGCTAATATTTGATTATTATTATTATAATTCTTGTGATAATTTTATGATTTGAGGTATAACTTCAAAAGCGTAACCTTAATCAATAATATTTACTCTTAATTAATCACTAAGTAATTAAATAGTTTCATGAATAAGGATTAGTAAAATAATTTTTTTTTTAATTTACCCATAATGCGGTATCATTAAGCCTCTGATTAATTAACATGTACTATGTATTTTTTTTTTCTATCGAAGTCATTGATTGATCCCTTACTAATTAGCCTAATTTGTTAATCAAAATGAATTAAGCCAATCATTTATCTAAAACCTTATACAGTAATTATTATCTAATTATTTATTTAGGAACCTGATTGCAAATTTAATTATCAATAACAAACAAAATTTATCCTTATAGCCTAATCGCTGGACAATTTTTAATGTAAAGAGTTTCTCATAGAATTTAGTATGACGAGGTTTTGCATGCCATTGGGTTGGCATTATAATTTGTTTTTTTATAGTGATATTTGCTATGAAGAGTAAAGTTCCCCATTCCAATCCAATGACAACTAGGGCTGTAAAAATAGCTCGTCGTTCGTGAATAGCTTTTGTTTGACTTGTTAAATAGTTCGTGTTCAATTCGTTTGTTAAACAAGGGAGCCAAACATGAAAATTATTTTTGAGCTCGATTTTTAGACACACAAACAAAATTTTGTTGTTCATGTTCAGCCCGTTTGGATCGAAATAATTAAGAAATTTAATAATAATAATTAAAAGTTAAAATAATGATATAGTTGATATGATATTTTGGTTTATAGAAATATAAAAAAATTAGATGTTAGTTATGTAAATACATAAGAATTGGGTGGTATTTATGTACATGCCCCTCACATTTTTCCCAAAAATCTTGCCTCGTCTGCACGAACGTGGTGATACATTTGTAAATGTATAAGAATTGGGTGGTATGTATTTAAATTCCCCTCATATTTCCCTAAAAGAATACGGCTCTGGTGGGCCTTGTCTGTTGCTATTCTATAGTCTGCACTCTGCAGAGGTCTTACACAGGTAATTACATAAAAATTTGGTGTTGTGCATTTAAATGCGCCTAAAAACTTGACCCTCCTAAATATTGAGCTGAATTCGAATATTAATCCAACATTGATCTATAAACAAAGGTAGGAAAATTAAATACTTTCAGCTTCACCGTGTGTAAGGAGAGATGTAATTCGTTCTACTGAAAATGTTTTAAAATATAAAAAAATAATTTCAAAATTTTAATTCGAGCTGAAATTTAAGCTGAACACAAGCCCAATTTGAACAAACTGGAGGGGAAAAAAAAATTAACGAGCCTATCAAAAAAAAAAAAAAAAGAAAAAAAACCAGCCAAAAAAAAAAAAAAAAGAAAAAAAAAAGAAAAAAAACAAGCTGAACACGAATAACTCTTGGGCTCCGCCCAAGTTCGGCTCGTTTACACCCAACTAAAGCTTCCTTGCCATGAACTCATTTTATACTTGTGCGATAGATTGCTTGAAGTTATCCTTTCTGCCAAATAGATTAGTGGATTCCTTAGATAATTATTTCTCCTAGCAAAGAGGTTTAATTCATATTAATTCTTAAGCTTTTACTCCTTTTCTAACTTGGTGATGTTACTTTATCCCATTTGTCGACTGATTAGCCCTGATATGGTAACAATATTTTCTGTTTTTGATTGTCTTTTTTTTTTCGTCATGAGCTCTGTGTACAACATATTGGAAATATGAATGTATTCGGTCTTACTTTTTTGTTTTATATGTACAGCTGAAGGATTGACATTTGGAAATAGTGTGTACTGGATTTCTTTTGATGAGGAATATGCTCAAAAGGTGCTTTTTTATTCTTTGAATGATGTTTTTTCCTGTAATTATCATACATCATCCATCGGTCTGGTGTCTGTTGATCTTATACATTTTCTTTAATCTTCCTTGCTTCAGAAGTTCAACTCTTCTAGCCCTTTCGGCATTCAATACAAGTTTCATTTGGAGGTAATTCAAATTAAAACATTACTTTAAACTGCATTGATTATTATGTAATGTCTTTTGTTATATGTAATTTGTCTTGTTGGCTTGCTTGCTTTCAAATACCTCATGTTCTTTTGTGTAGCAGAGAATTTTAATTATTTTTTTCCTTTATTCCAAGATCATGCTAGTCTCTGAGCTTTATATTGAATTCATATATTTCTTAGATAAGCTAATGTTTGCTGACAATCCGTCGTATTTTATGCAAAATTAATTTTTTATGGTGGTGCAGTGATAGAAGTATCTTTGGGTAATTAAATTATTAAAAGATGTGAACGCTTTAGATATCTCGGATTTTTTGTTCAAAGTGATGGTGATATTGATGGAGATGTTATTAGTAGAATTCAAGTTGGTTGGTTGAAGTGGAGGAATGCTTCGGGCCTATTGTGTGATAGAAAAGTACCGCTTAAACTGAAAGAACAATTTTTTAAGATGCTGGTGAGATCTGCAATGATCTATGACGCTGAATGTTGGCCTTTAAAAGAGAAGCATAAAACTATGTTAAGTGTTGCCGAGATTAGAATGATTGGGTTGATGAGTGGCTTTACACTTAAGAGACAAAATGAGAAATGAATATATCCGTGATAGGGTTAGTGTAGCTTCAGTGACGGACAAAAATTAGAGAGAGTCGTCTTTGATGGTTTGGTCACATTAAATGTCGACCATCTGATGATCCAATTAGAAGAGTAGATGTTTTAGATTCGACTTATTTTAAGAAAAACAAAGGTAGACCTAGGAAAACTTGAGCATATTGTATAAAAAACAATCTTAATTTTTTAGAATTAAATGAAAATATGACACTAAATAGGATGCAATGGAGAAAAAGGAATCTTGCAGCCGACCCCACTTAGTGAGATAAAGGTTTTGCTGTTTTTGTTGTTGTAGTTGTGCAGGCCAATCAAATTTTTTAACGTTTCTGTAACAGAGTTTTTATGAAAATTTCTAGTTTGTCTTTCTAACTCATGCTTCTGTAGGTAAGCACGATTAGGATTAAAATCTTTTTTGGGCTTGATTCCTTGAAATTATAGAACGTGCTGTAAAGTAATGATATCACCTTTGCTCATTTTGTGTGTGAAAATTAATCTATTACATTTGAATGAGGTTTGAGGGGGTCCGTGGATTTTAAAATTATTAACTACATTCAATGAAATGATGAATCCGGGTAATTTCACCCACATTTTACTATCATTTGCTCATACTATCCCTAGCAGCTCACATCTGCTGGAATGTCTCCTACTATCCCAGAACTATTCCCTGCAGGCAGTCAAGATTTCTCCATGTAAGCACCTTCCTCGGACATTTCCTGCAGTAGAAATCCCTCCTCTATTCTTCTCTACCGCCGGATCTCCTCCATGCAGCCGGAATTGCATGATGCAGGCCCTCCTCTGGCAGGAGCTCTCACTGCAGTCATTCTCTGTATTCCTCTGCATTCTGCTTCCCGCATACCTTTATTCCTCTGCTCCTACCCTCCCTGCAGCCAGCAGCCAACATGAGCATCATAAAAAATCACAGCTTGTCTTGAAGCAGCTACTTCAACGCCTGCTATTTTTCTCCTTTTCTGCAACAGCCGTACTTCTACCTGCATAGGCAACAATCAAATCCCCTCCTGCAACAAACAACCACCCTAAAGACACATTGGGTTTATAACCAAGTACCACATGAAGACGTCAAATTTTACTCTGAAGATTAATTTTGAACCATTCACTAAGGAATAACTTGAAATACTGAAACAACTCCTTAGAGGTAATTCAGATCAGCCCACCAACCTCGTGATACACTAAGATAATAAATCATTCTCCCATCTTGCCAGTAATGAGAGATTTAGAACTTGAATCATAGATTTAAGAGCCTCTGATCATATGACCGGAGAATCAATACTTTAGTCAACTATTAAGAGGCTTCTACATCTAGATTGGTCAGGCTTGTAGATGAATTACACTAAAAAATTGTTGGAAAATGAAATGTTAAGCTCTCTTAGGATATTACTCTTTCCTCTGTTTTATATATTCCACAGTTCGACTGTAATTTAATTTCAATCAGTAATATCTCTCATGATATGAAATGTATAATTAAATTCCTTGAACAGTTGTGAATTTCAGTGGTTGATTTGGGGAAGTTGATTGACAGTGATAAAATGCATCAAAGCTTATACTTGCTCAAGGAACGTCTCTCTATAAGCACACAAATGATTTCATCTCCATTTTAACCTCAAAATCTTGAGTCTGTTAAGTCTATATCTATTGAAAACAAGTCATGTTATGGCATTGCCGCCTTGGCGATTCTGATTTCAAAGGTTTGCTAAAATTATGAGACCTAATGGATATTCTAAAAGTTAAGCTAATCATACTCTATTTGTAAAACACACTCAGGAAGGCGAAGTTGCTATAGATAGTATATGTGGATGATATGATTCTTTTGAGTGGTGTTGAAAAAAGATTCTGACTATTAAGGAAGTACTTACCATAAAGTTTGAAATAAAAAACCTAAGAATCATGAGATATTTTCTAGGTATGAAAGTAACAGGGTCTAAGAAAGACATCGTTATATCACAGAGGAAATGCGTCTTACATCTACTAAAAGAAATATGGATGATTGGGTGTAAGCCTTGTGATATTTCAATGGATCCAACCACAAATTAATGAGGGGTGAAGAAAGTGTCTGTGAATAAGAGAATATATCAAAGATTGGTAGGAAAACTCATCTACTTATCACATATGCGGTCAGATTTGCATATTATGTCAGTATTATGAGCAAACACATGAATAACCCAATTGAAGAGCATCATAATCGAGGTTTCTGAAGAAGACTTCTGGTTATGGATTAATCTTTGAGAAAATCAGAAAAAGAGGTGAAAATTTATATTGATGCTAGTTGGGTTGGGGAACTCATTGACAAAAGGTCGTCCACAGGTTACTGCTCTTATGTATGTGAAAATTTAGTGACATGGAAAAGTAAGAAGTAAACTTTTGTTTCTAGAAGCAATCCAGAATCAAAATTTAGGACACTTACCTTGGGAATCCGTGAAGGGATAAAGTTTATAAATTGTTAAAAGAACTAGGATGTCCTCAAATGGACCTATACAAATGTTTTGTGACAGTTAAACAACTATAAATATTGCTAAAAATTTTGCATCATGATAGAACCAAGCATATTGAAGTTGATAGATGCTTCAGCTCTTGAAAGGTTAATAGGGGAATTATACAACTAAGCTATAATTTGACACACCTTGATTGGTTTATTAAACAACTAAATCTCTTCATTTAAGCACCTTCTAAGAATTCAATACCTAGCTTGGTCTCTACAACATCTGCGACCCAGCTTGAAGGGAGTGTGGAAATATGAGAAGATCTTATGGAAGATTTGATTGGGACAAATTAGAAAATCCTTGATTAGTTTATTCCCATTATATTTTATGTTATTTTATTTTTATTTCAGAATGATTTCTTTTTTTAATTTAGGTTAGATATATTTAGTAATTTTGTAAATTTGAGAGATTATTTTCCCTATACTTGTGTAACCTATAAGTTAATAAGAGAATTTAGGGGAATTATTCCTCCCAAAACTTAATTTTCTGAATTAGCTTTTGCAAATCTCTGTATAACTTTCATGATTTTAAGTATACATTTATCCTTGTTTATATAATGAGAAAAGCATTTATCATTATTTTAGCAAAGGAAAACTTTGAGTGAGGTCATGTTCCTAAATCTGTTAAAGGTTTTCTTTTTATCAAGCGGGTAAGGATTTAAATATTGTTTTAAACTGAATTATAACAGTTTTTTCCCCAAATGCTAATCATGTTGTGTCAATATTATTTGTTCGTGTAGATTTGATTATGATCATCTAAATTGCATTATATTTCTCATTTAGTTATGACAATTTACAGGATGCTGTTGATTGTCCAGAGTGGATCGTACCATTTAATGTTTTCAAGTCACTGGCAGAGGAGGTTAGTTTATACTCTCATGGAATGCCCCTAAACTTACTTTTTGCATGCATTTTCTGAAGTAGTTGTATTGGCTTCCCTTCAAGACTAGAAGCAATCCTGCTATTGTAGAATTATTGTGTTTCCGCATTCTTCTTTTGTGATGAATTTAATTATAATGACAACTTTGTGATGAAACAATTTAGATTGCATGCACAGTTTTTCTGTTAAACTACCGCTATTCTCTGTTTCGGTTGTTAGATTTAGTAGTTTCCTGTTTGGTTTGAAGTCTTCTTTAATTTCTCAGCTAGAATGCTTCATTTTCTTCAACTAAAACATTAAAGTTTAATTTATCGGATTCTCTTCTGCCTTTCCTTGAGAGCCATGCATATTCAGTAAATTTTTTTTAACTTATTGATGACTTGTATCTTTATATAATTGTAGAATTTCCTGGCAAAATAATGTATAATGCATAATTGTTTGTTTCAAATAGCTCATCATAAGGTGAGGGTTCTGTGGAGCCTAATGCATAGCACATGGTGTATCTCATGCAATTATAAATTTAACCTAAAATATTAAAAATTATGAATAAAATGCTACTAAATATACATAAACATTTATTAAAGAAGACTAAATGTCTGTTTGGGGCAGCTGCAGGTTATTGATAATCTGCTGATAAACAATTGATAATCTGACTGTCTGTTTGGTTCGTGCGTTTGAAAAATAACTAATTTGCAACTGTTTCTTGATAAATGACCATTTTGCCCCTGTGCAGTAATGCTGTTTATAACAGAACTATTATAACAATATATTCGATACTTGAGAAACAAAAATCACTTTAGAACATTAGAAAAATAAGATACTTATCTCACTTAATAATGAATATCAAACGTACTAAGAAAAAGAAAAAAAAATATTAAAGTTACAATTAAAAATGTGATAATACTAATTTTTAAATCCGGACGACGTATGTCACGAGCTATATGATCCTTCAGGGATACCAATCCCATACTATTATATAATTTAATGTTTATATTTAATAAGTTTAAACATAATAATAATTTAAATATATAACAATTATAAATTATTTACAAATATATTTATAAGTAATACAATTATACGTAGTCATATTATATATGCTATATACATTACTTTAAATATAATTTTTTTAAATAAATATTATATAATGATATTTATTTAATATATAAATTATATATTAATCAAATTAATATACGTTTAATATAATATATAAGTATTTTATAAAGTTATATATTATTTATATAAGATTTTTTATAATAAGATATGCTATACATTATATATCATTTAATAGCCAACATATTTATAATATACAACATAATAATTTTTTTATAAATATGTAGAGATATTATTACAGTATAACTTTATTATTATACTATGATATATAATTATATAATAGATAATTTATGGTAAATATATTTATAAATTACTTGGTTAATGTTCATCATTAACATATAATATAGTATAATATTAATATAATAATAAGTATATGATTTATAACATATATAATAGATATAAAATAGTTATTATACGGTAGTAGTATCGGTGAAAACACGGTAGTATTGGCGGTAATATTGGCGAAAACAAGGTAGTATCGACGTGGTAGTAATGACACAGTGTTGTTACGGAAGTATCGCAGAAACAATGCTATTTGGTGGTAGTATTCGCGGTAGTATTGGTGATGTTATTTGGAAATGGGCGGTGTTATTTGCGGGGTCGCGAGCAGTGGGGTAAAACCCTTGCGATCGAACTCGGGCCGCGGGGTCGATCCTGCGGCCACGTTTATTAAGAAATCAAATATGCTGTTTCACGGAATGCAACTCGAACGCACGAATTAAACGGGACGGCGACGATATTGCCGCCGTTGTTAGCTGTCCCAAATAGGCCCTAAATTGAAAAATAAACTATCATGGTAATAAAATAACTAAATTTATAAAGAAAACTACCATGCTTGATGTTTTACATGTTGATGTTGCTCAAGTGCTTAATCACTCATGAATAACATTCTAAATTTTCGGCTTTGATTGTAAGTGTATATCACATGAAGACCATTTCACCATGTTGTTGACCTCATTTTTGGCGAGGTCTAGTTTTCTTCTTAGGATTTAGGGTCTAGTCTTAAGATTCTCCCTTTGACTATTTTAGAGTCTTAGTAATGAGACCCATCTCATTTTAGAAATCCAAACCATCTCATTGGGAGTTCCGTATGTGTGGTTCTTGACCTCTAACACTTAGGAGGTTAAAAATTAACATGAGGGAATTGGAAAGGATTCCCCATAGGACCATTAAGCCTTAAGATTGCCTTATTCACATTTTGCACCTTTGTGCGCACAAATTTCGCAATTCGGACAGTCGACCCGTTTAATTATCACAATTCACATCACTCACGCTTTTATATGTTTCATAATTAATCGAAACTAAAATTAATTTCCAAAACAATCTATCATGAACTCGAACTTTTAAGAAAATCAAATTTGACATTTTTTTTGACCTGATTGTCGACGAAGTTGCTCGAACAACCTCGGATGACGAAATGGGCCAAACGATGCATCTAGAACGCTGAAATTGCCTAGAAAGGACACCCATCTTGCTAAGGCATCGCGCACGAATAAATTGCACGAAAATTGACGCGCTTGAGTGAAATAAAAAAGAGAAAATACCTAATTAAAAAAAAAAAACTTACGCATCTGAGCCCTCGCCCCGCCAGTTCCTCTCACCCGCGACTCGCCTCTTCTTCCCAGTCGAGACCCAGGCGAAGCCCTAGGGCCGAATTCGCCCCAGCAGAGTTGCCAGAAATTATCAGCTGCTAAAATATTCTTTGAAAAATATAAAACATAGTTTTGATTTAATTTAATATATATATTTAGAAAAATAATATTTTAAATTTTAAAAAAAATGAGACGGGGTGGATCTCATTCATTTAATAGTTTAAGTAAACGAGCACAACATCGCAAGTAACACACCTTTCTCGAGGAATAGACATATTATTTGGTGGTGATGCTCGATTAAATAAACTAAGGAATTCGTGACATCCGTTTTGGTCTGCAAATATTTTATTTTGACCAACAAGTTCCCCTACATAATATCAAACATTAGATAGACTTTATATTACCCGGGTTCTTAAGGCTTCCTATAGCGGCAAACCCCTATACTTAGTTACTTCTTAAATGACTGAAGTCACTTAAAAGAATTCTCGATGATGGTCAGAGATATCTATCTTCATGAATTCAAAGTTTAGAGTTTTCAATGTTGGACTTAGAAAAGTCAAGTAGGAAAAGGATCAAATAGGAACATTTTTTTTGGAATCAAAGGAAAGAAAAGTAGGGGACGTCACGGATCCTGAGGAGAATCTCAGTGACTTCCTAAACTATCCTCATATTTGGCTTAAATTTTGAGAAAATGTAGTTTTATTCTTTAGGGCTTATATTTGTATGACACGGTTATATAAATGATCTGGAAGATAGGAGGATTTACGTCGTATCAAATGACGACCTCAGAGCCTAAAGCGAATTATGGATTATATTACAAAACATGACTGTGCAAAGACTTAAAAAGATAAGTTGAGAATTTATGTCGCGCTAGATAGACCAACTCGAATTCCTATGACTTGTTATTTAAACTAAGGAAAGGTTTAGCTGATGTAGACTTGTTTTACTGTTGTAAATCGTCATCCCCAACCTGCTACAGCTTCATCGTGCTGCCCACAAAGGCTTGTTTCATGCTCCATGTTGTAGTAGTTTATGGTTTAGTTTATTATGTCATGTTTTTTTTTAATTTCAATCACTATTAATCCAATTAATTAAAGGGCATGTGTTTAGGTTTTATAATGATCCATCCTAGGTAAATCGACTGTTGTTCTATATTTTAAAGGTTTTGCAATTAATTTAAATCATGTATAAACAAAATATGCTATAAGGAAATACAATAAAGGAAAGTAGTGTAAAGAACGGTAAAAAAAGTAGTAAAATGTGCGATAAAGAGAAACAGTAAAATGTGCAGTAAAAGGAGTTCTGTAAATAAAAAGGTACTGTGAATATAATATAAACATGTGTACCTGATGTGTCTGCTACTCCTGCAAATAGGGTTAGTGCCGCAGGTAAAAGTAAACAATTATCGCATGTAAGAGTGAACAAGTATCGCAGAAAATTTAACTAACAGGGAAAACATACACGTATATGTAAAAGTCTAATGACAAAACATCTCATGGAAAACTTGAAGAAAAACACAAGTGACTCACAAAATAAACTCGAAAAAAACTAGAAGGAAACACAGAGAAAACTCGAAAAAAATAATAAGTGAACTATAAAAGACCGAAGTGGACTTAAAGAATTCAGGTTTGGGGTGAGCTCAGATTTTAGCATTCCTGAAGGACTCCGAAGTCAACCATCGTTCATTCACGTGTATAAAAGCAGACATTCAACTGTAAATTTCTAACAAGACAATCTTATGAGGGCAATTCTTAGCCCAGTACAGGTAATTGTCAAGTGGATAATCAGGTTAGATTATTTAAAGTTTTTAGTTTGTCATGCATATAAGCAAAAATAGATTTATTTTACTTAGCACTCAAAAGTATTTATGTTGTAAAGAAAATATCTGTATCGTCATATTTGTATATTTTGTAAAATAAATTTTGTAATAGATTTATTTTTAGCTGTTGTGTTCATTTGGTTTGAGGGTTTGACTTTACTGTTTTTTGGTTATTTTGCTGACTCTCTACTTGAGATTAAATTTTTGCTCACATTTCTTGGACTGCCTTCATTGCTGTTCTCGGTAGTTGCTTTGAGTTGTTCTGGTAGCTGCCTTAAGGCAAACTTTAGTAGCTATTTTAGAGTAGGTTTGAGCTTCTTTGGATTGCTTTTCGTGGCTACCTTTAAGTTGTTTTTGTTGGCCTGCTTGGCTGCGGTTTTACACCTATCTGTTGGCCTGGTGCCTACAGTTTGGGGGAACATGGGGACTGTTTTGTGGCCTCTGGCTGCGGTTTTTGGAGT